GAGCGGTTCCTTTCACGAGCAACCAATCAAGAAACCTTCAATTGTGCATCCCTCTGACATTTTAAGGAAACATCTCAGCCTGTAGAAGGGTTTAATCATCTGGGGGTGTTTGGTAAGTCTCAAGCATTTGAAGATATGGATTAGTGCTGCCAATTATTCAACTTTGCTGCATTAATTGCATTGCTAATGTTAGTGATCGTCCTTTTCTTCCAATAAGATTGCACAGAATAGTTTGGAAGCTTCTGGTGGACCAAATGGTGGAGGATGGTCTTTTATGGTGATCCTTTATGAGGTAAACATGTAACCAGAACATTAATCTATTAGCAGTTTTGAAGTGTATACTTGCGTTTCTTTTTGTTAGGCAAAAAGGTTGTGATTATCAAGACTGGTGGAAAGTTAGGGAAATTTTTGGTTTGAACACTTTAGTGATTTATAAACATGTTGGGTTTGAACTAATTGTCTTCGGTATTTTGACAACTTCTATTCAACTTTTGTTTCAATTCATTAGCGAGGCTTGCTTTGCTAAGCATAAACTCATGCAGATTATACAATGAATCAGCCTCTCACATGTCCTACTTTCCTGCACTTTTAGACTTCTACTTCATTTCACTAGCTGCAATTCTGAATCCAAGAGGTTTTTTCTTATTCAGATGGATTACTAGCTCAACCAGGTGAAAGCATTTTGGGGCCGGCAAGGACAAGGGGAGGAACCTTATGTAGGGGACTCGGACTGGATAAAGCAAGAGCAGCTTTTTGTTAGTAGCTGAAAGACGGAGACCAGAACTAGATGCCAAAGAAGCCCAAAAATCAGGGCTACGTTTTCAGAAATGCGAGTTGGAAAAGGTTAAGGGGACAAAGTCTTCTTGAGCTCGTTCAACAATGAGTTAATATTTATGCTTATCAGTGCAAGCTCTGCTCATTAATCCAGCATGGGGTTTTGCAGGAGGAGATACGTGCAATTCTTTTGAGTTTTGCTGAACCAGGAGTTCTTGTTGTGGGATTATGTGGACAAAGAAACAATGCTTCCAACTAACTCTAGCAACTCAGAGATTCAGTGTGATGAAGGATTTGCTGCTGTTATTTGAAACAACTTCTGCTTTGAATGCTCACTAAGCTGGGTTTTTTTACACAAGAAGCAGAAGAATAGGACGCACATTGCTTCATTTGACCAGCTCAGTTTCAAGCGAGTTACAAAGACTCTTCTCTGCTCAACTGACCAGGATGCTATTAGGCCTCTGAATAAGCATTTGGTTTTTTGCATATTTCTATGAAAATCCACACTCCATGATATTGTATGTAATTATATTTTCAAGAGAAAAATACTTTCGTGTTCAGTCAACCAAACAAGAGTGGTTCATTTCACTAGCAATCGCAAAAGCATAATAGAATTTTTCTCAGAGGTGCCCATGTTTCTCCTGATTCTAGGTCCTGGAAATAGCAATCGTCATCCATCAAGAAAACTGTCAGCACACACCTTCCTTTAACTTGTGCTTCTCTCTGGCACTTTAAGGAAAGATCTCAGCCCACATTCCATAAGGGTTTGATTATCTTCAGGTATTTGATAGGTGTCATGGGTTTGGAGATATGGATCATATTTCTGTGTGAATTCCATTGCTAAAATTAGTCTCGGTCATTCCTTTCAACCACAGAATAGTACGGAAGGTGCAGGTAGACCAACTGATGGCAGACGGTCTTTGGTTTGAGGCAAGCATATAACCAGAAATTGACAATGTCTTAAAATCCTTTCCAACTTCATTTTACACCCCAGTTTAATAAATCTTTGTCAATCCTTCCAAGTATCTGGATTTTCATGAACCACATCCAGTGAGCTTGTCTTGAATATGAAGTTTGGATGGGGAAATGGGTTGTTGAGCTGTCTTAGGAGTTGGGCTCTGTTAGGATCTTTGTTTTGCAAGATGGCTTAACTGGTAAGATGAAGTTATGTGTTGACTGTTTTCCTTCTCTTTGGCAGAGAGGAAAATCTGCAAACTGGCCATTACCTAAACGTTCCTCGATGGATGACCAAGGAATCGATGGATTCCAAATCCACCACTTCTGATCTTAGAAAGGTATATTTTCTTTGCTACATGTTTTTAAGATTTTATCTAAGCACTGAACAGTAGAAGTATTATGCGTGTCTTCGTGATATACAGAAGGGAGGATTTTCAGATGCTTTGAGAAACTTTTCTCACCTGTTTCACTTCCCTTTAGATGCCAGATGTTCTGTAATCAGCGCTTAAGTGATCAAAACAAGATGAGAAATCTGGAATTGGATTCAGTGAGGTGTGTTTCTTAAATTTCTACCTCTTTAACATGCTTATTGATTAAGGAAGAAAATTGTTTTAGATTATTTTAACAACTTTATAATGTGACGGGATATGCATATTCTTCCCATTCTAAATGTCATCCGTTCCTATTCCACTAGCTGATTGCATGGTGTCATGCTGGTTTCTGGGTTCTTCATAACTGCATATAGTTCCAAACTTGTTTCCTTTTACAATTCTATTTACAGTTATGGATCATATCCATAAGCTGAGGGATTTTTTAATCACACACAGGCTTTTTGGGTTTTCCATGCATATGCTATTTACAAAAAATTTCTTCGAAAGATGCAGATGCTAATTATTTTAATTATGACATTCAACCCTTTAGGTGCCTTGCTACTGATTTTAACTATCACGTTGCAATCATCTGTCTCACCAGAGTTTCTATTCCTTCTGTTTCATTTCAAAAATTGGCAGGCTGGCTTGATCTTCAACAGACAAGGTAGGTGAAGATGCAGTGCAGTCTCTGTAGCAAAGATAAGGTCTCTGGATTCTTTCCATCTATTTCAATAGAAAACTGTCCATCCTTCTCGCAGTAGAGATTGTAAAAAGAGAAAATGGTGTATATATATTTTTACATTTACTTCATGTCTAGTATAGTATAGTATATATTAATGTCTTTTCATTGATCTTATTGCAGCAATGTAAAATGTCTTCTTGTAGTACTTCAAATACTGATACTTCATCAGCCCAATCATCTCGTCCCATCAGCATTTTATTCAAATTTTGCTTGGACATGGAAAAGCTCAATATGTTCATTGTACCAAATTAAAGGTGTTGACAAGGATGCATCTATACGTGTTACATTGGTTTCCAATGTGCTTTTACATCTAACATGACTATAATATTATGAAATCTTGAACTTTTTAATAATAATTAAATTGTTTGTGATGAAACATCTATTAAAATAATAGGATTTGAAATTGTAATTAGTTAATTGTTTTGTCCCCTCGACTTCTAGTGTGCTTAGTTACCTTTGTTAAATTGTGCTGAAGTGTTGGTCAATTAATTTCTTTTGTTAGCATGTTGTTTTTTTATCTTTTATTTTGTTAAACTTTTTAGCAAAGTGGATTGATGAAAACAATTTGCTGATTTATAGTGTGTACTTGTGTTATTATTATTATTTTTCTAGATTAATCCGAGTTAATCTAGATGATAATATAATTAGCTAGCCAGGTGAATTTTCAAATGGATTTAATAATTATGATACTAATTCCCTCCTCCCCTCTCCCAAAATGAATGAAATGGTGGCATTCATAGCGATGGCTCAAAGCTCGCTCAAAATTCTCTCTCAACACTATTGTTCTTCTTCAGAAGATTTTCTGCTAAAGTCTTTGTCAAAGGTAGTTTCCTCTCTTCTCACAAAATTTTAGCTAAAGTTGTTGGCAAGAATACAAATTTTGTAACACCCACCACACATTTAGCATCCATTTCTTGATACCAACAAGTCCAGTCAATTTATTAAAGAAGGCCCAAAAACTTTAACCCACATTTGTGATTAATTTTGTGGGAAAAAATAGTTTTGTTTTTCTAAATTTAAAAATATATCCAGCCTTGTTTTCTGCTTTCCATTTGTCATATAAAGAAGAAAGATTTGGAATTTCTTGCTTCTACTCCATGTCTGCTGGGTCTGCACAACCCAGTTTTCTTACAGGTCTGATCTCATTACTGTCCCGTCCCACATGTCTTGGGGATTTGCCGGGTTAATACACTTCTTGCTTAGCCTGGCTTGCAACGCATGGGCTACAAGCCCTGAGTTTTTACACCTCAGGTACAGCGTAAAAGTCCCTTCAGGCGTGCATATCAGAATTACTGGCTTGTTTCTGAACAAACTTTAAGGAGTTCGTTTGTTTGTTCTAAATGATGGCTTCAAGACTGAATTACTGCTAGGTTTATCCAATTTAATAAATAATTACCGTAGGAAACTGCTCCAAAACTTTATAGGAAATTTAAATAACGAAATCATGGTGCTGATGCCACAAATACAGATTATCCTCTACAAAAAAAATGCTGGCTATAGTCTATGGTTTAAAATATCCTTCACCAAAACTTTTCTTCAAACTATGTTAACAAATCTCAACTCATTCCAGCACCATAATTGTTTTTTAAAAAAATCCGCCTAGGACCAAAATTAAACTGATCCCTCGTGATTCTGACCTAATCAGACAACGCACAACTAGTAAACAACACAAACTCCTCCATGGCAAAGGTTACATTCTATGCTACATGTGATGCTCTTCAGCAACAAGGATAAACAGCTTCGGTGCACATATCCAGCTTCTTTTGTCATGCTGCTTTCACCTAAGAGAATATCGTCATTCATCATGCCGCTTTCACCTTCCGAGAGGGAGGCCGTCGGAATAAACTTATGAGATCATCAAGACCCTGTTAAACAGCATAATTGGCAATTCAGCAATTTTAGTTCAGTTTTTTTCATGTAGGATTTTGAAGGTATAGCAAAAAAAAAATGTACAAACAAGAAGTTTTGAAAGCTTCTTATAAAGATAAGTGGGGTTACCCTTGTTGTGATGACAAGAAAAGTGAAAAGTATAATCAAATATGATCCTAGCACCAGAAGCAACAGCAAGTCGAATGTTACACTAGCAACCTGTAACAGCACATTTGAGTTGATTATCATTCAACCCAGTAGAGTAATTAACAGTTTAATTCGTAAAAGAGAATAGCATGAAAATAAAATACATCTCAAAAGTCAAGAGAAATAAAAATGTAATTGTCATCTAGAGAAATAAAAAAAAGAACCTGGTATATGTTTAGTTTAGCTTTAGTTGAGTCATATATTCTGAACATCCCATCGAGCACCTCATGTTGCACATTTACTTCATGAGTATGATCTTCTAGTTCCTGCAGAAGGATAGAAACACATTAAGTAAAAAACTAAAAAAAGTATATTATGTTACCTTTAGAGTGTTAAGCAGCCCCAGCCTAATAAAACCCCAAAACCAAATCAAATTTCTTTGTGGGGAAAAAAATAAAAATAACAAGTCCTTTCCAATTTCCAACATAGTATCATCAATCAGCTCTTAAGCACCAGGTGCCAGACAGACAGGTTTTCATACAGCATATGCCATGTTTTGGATAAATCAATCAGATTCCAGAAGTCAGCATCAAGGGGGGGGGTTGCAGGCGGCAAAAGAAAAGCTTA